CGCGTCCTCGACCTGACCCCCGCGCGCGCCAGGCAAGCCCGGGTGACGGAGCGGGCGAGTCCGGAGCCCTGGCCGTGGTAGACCCGACGCCAATACGCGGGCTCCGCGCGTCAGCCAACCTGGGGAGAGGCTGGACTCTGCGGGGGCGTTTCCACGCTGCCTCGGCCGGGGCGCTGCTCCTGGCGTTGGGCGCCTGTGAGGCCACTGCGGGCCTGGTATCTGTCATTCATTCACCAGTGGTTTCTTCCGACGGGAGCAGGATTTCAGCATTTTGAGTCTCGTGAAACCCTCATAAAAGACGATCTGAATTGTTTAGCTCTTCTTCCAATTAAATAATAAACACTACATTATCCCCCAGTCGATTGAATTACTCAGCAAAAACATCACTTTCCAAAAATCTGTGGTTGAAATAAGTCCTCTCCAGCTTTGGAATTCAATTTTCTGGTATACTGGTATTTCTGAGGAAATGATATGTAGAGGTTCTCAGAGTTTCAGTCATTTTAGGGAAGGAGAATGATCATGAGAAGGAGTGAGACAAAGTGGGGAGCAGAACACGTAGGTCAACCGAAACACACTGCTGAGGGGAGCAGTGGGCAGGTCAGGAGAGGTCTGACCATGTGGGACACCTCCCTGGCCAGGGACAGAACTCATGCTGCATTGGCTGCAGATACCAGCACTTTAACCCATTGTGCCACCAGGGAGGAACCAAAAGTTAATATATTTTAAGTGCGATATGTCAGGTATTGTCCGTGAAGCAGACCTAGATTTTATGTCCATACATTGTGTTTTTCATAATGAGAATGTAACAGAGTAGTCCCTAGGGATAGGGGAAGTTCCAGGTTCCCTGTCCTGCGTTTGGTGCCAAATCTGTTACAGGACAGGGAGAGGGGCACCACTGAACCCCTAAACTTGCCTGCTCCAAATTGGTTCTGCCATCTGCCACATAAAGACAAAACATATAACACTTCAATGAAAAGGGACTTTAATACAATGAGTATACAATACAGAAGACAAAGAATGTAATGTCTAAATCAAACACCTGAAGTTACCCATCCCCTCATGGACAAAAGTCAACCCAAAGCAAGGCCTGAAAGCCTACCACAAGACTAAAGCACCTTCTGGCCGGGACCATCGAAAAGGGTCACAAATGGCCAGACAAATCTGGGAAGAAAAGAGCAAAATCAAAATCAATGTAAACACTGCCATAGTCACCTCTCTAAAGGTATCTCACCCACATCTGCCTTAACCAGTCCAGGGTCAGGAAACAAGCAGTTTCCCCATCACATGCTTGCTGTTCCATGTGGCTTCTTCAGGTCTCCCATCTGGCTCTCCATCCTGTTTCCTTCTTTTTCTTCAGATTCCTTCACTTCTCTTTTTCTCTGCTCAGCTCCACCTTCCTTCTGGGTGGGGCAGGGAACCTGGAACTTCCCCTTTTCCTGGGGACCACCCTGTTACAGAAGACTGACACAGAAAATTGAGAAAAAATTTCCCTATGTCTATCTATGCATGAATCCCAAACAAGACAAACACATTATATTTAAATGGTGTGGGCATCAGCAACTCTTTTTCTCCTGGACTTTTTTCAGAATTACCCCCCACCTCAGTGTTGAAATTTGCAAGAGACATTCCATAGGGGCCACAGTTCAGGCAGAGACCAGGTCTGAGGACACCTAGATTAGGTGCCAAAATGTAATAGGGTGGTCCCCAGGAAAAGGGGAAGTTCCAGGTTCCCTGCTCCATCCTCCCAACCTCTCCACGGGTCTCTCACCCACATCTGTTTTAACCAGTCCAGGGCTAAGAAGCAAGCATGGTTTCTTCATCACATGCTTGTTGCTCCATGTGGCTTCCTCAGGTTTCCTTCTGGCTCTCCATCCTGTTTCCTTCTTCTCTTCAGACTCCTTCTCTTCTTTTCTCTGCTCAGCTCCACTTTCCTTCTGGGTGGGGCAGCGAACCTGGAGCTTCCCTTTTTCTTGGGGACCACCCTGTTACAAAAACATCTCCCACCAAATCTGAGGATTCCAAAGATGTTAGACATTCCCAAATGTAAATTCAGCCCTTTTCCAAGTCTCCTTGTTCCCCTCCCCCTCTCCAGACAGAGTTCATACTTCCTAAGCACTGGATTCCTTTCCTCAAGATATTTTTGTCTGCACATATTTTATTGCTTTGTAAAAACTTGTTTATGTGTCTTGCCACCCCACTGAACTGTAGGTTCCTTGAGGAGCTGAGTCCTACTTATCCTTGAATTTCATAGCAGAGCCTCAATAGATGATGAAGTAATAGATTTCTTTTTATTTATTTATGCATACAAGAATTGGGGTAGAGGCCAGAAGTGCACAGGGTGAGAGGATTCACCAGAGAGAGTTGGGAGAACAGGCAGATGTGCTGAAATATACTCCTGAGGGGAGCAGCAGAGGAGACAGGAGGTCTTCTGTATCACATGGGTTAGCTCCCTGACCAGGGGTTAAACTTGTTACAGGGCAGGGAGCGGGGGCACCACTGAACCCCCAAACCTGCTTGATCCAAATAGGTTCTGCCATCCGCCGCATCAAGACAAAACATGTCAGACTTCAATGAAAAGGAACTTTAATACAGTGAATATATAATATAGAAGACAAAGAATATAATGTCTAAATCAAACACCTGAAGTTACCCATTCCCTCGTGGGCAAAAGTCAACCCAAAAGGCATTGGCACAAAGCAAGGCCTGAAAGCTTGCCACAAGCCCAAAGCACCTCCTGGCCAAGACGCATCGAAAAGGGTCAGAAATGGCCAGACAAATCTGGGAGCAAAAGAGCAAAATCAAAACCAATATAAACACTGCCATAGTCACCTCCCCATGGTTCTCTCACCCACATCTGCCTTAACCAGTCCAGGGCCAAGAAACAAGCATGGTTTTTTCCTCACATGCTTGCTGTTTCATGTGGTTTCTTCAGGTCTCCTTTTGGCTCTCCATCCTACTTCCTTCTTCTCTTCTGATTCCTTCTTTTCTCTTTCTCCTCAGCTCCACCCTCCTTCTGGGTGGGACAGGGAACCTGGAACTTCCCCTTTTCCTAAGTACCACCCTGTTACAAACTCAAGCCACAGTAGCTGGCAATAGCTTGCTATTAGCACTGAGGCTTTAATCCCTGAACTACCAGGGAGGCCTGGCAAGGGATCTGAGTGTCAGGCATCATATATTTAGTTTCTTGTCACTGGTAAAACAAATTACTGCAAATTTCATGACTTAAGACAAATGTATTGTCTAACAGAAAGGCTAACTGACTTTCAGAAGTCAGAAATTAGTTTTGTAGGATTAAAATCAAGGTGTTCGCAGTACTTCATTGCTTTTGGAAGCTGTAGGTGGGGAATCTGGTCCCTAGACTTTTCTGGCTTTCAGAGACTGCCCAAATGCCTTGTTTGTAGCCCCAGATAGCAATCATATCACTTCCCATTCTGCTTCAATTAGCACATCTCTGATGCTCTTTCCTAACTCCCCTTTTCACTAAGTATCATTGTGATTATTTTGGATCCCCCTGGCAATTTAGGATAATCTCCCATCTCAAAATAATTAATTTAGGCATATCTGCAAAGTTTGCTGTATATGTAACATAATATAGAGTAACATAATCACAGGATTCAGGGCTTATAAGAGGGATGTCTGGAGTGCCAGCAAATCATTCTGCCTACCCTTAGCACATCTGCTCTTTCTAGCAATTTCAAGCTCAAGCAGACAATTAACAGGTGGGTTGACACCACATGAATGATAATAATAAATAACCTGTCTTAACTAAATCAGAGTAACCTCAAAGTTGATGGATCTGGATAGAATCTCAGCTCTAACACAGTGATAATGCAATCTCTGCCAGCAGTTTACTTAAATGCTTTGAGGGAGGTGATTTCTTCAAGTAAAATGGGGATTATGTTACCCCTCCCCCCATCAGGATTATGGTGATGATCCAGTGAGATAATTAAGTCTGTAAAGCATCTCCAGCCCAGGAGTAGGTGTTTTGTCCCAACTTCTGTGACC